GAGGATAAAACCACTGATTTGTTCATCGGCTGGCCTTCGCAGGTCATTGTATCCGCCACATACGCATTCAACTACACCGCTACGATTCAGAATGGAAGTTGGATGCGGGGCGCATCCTACAGACAGGATTAATAACCGCCCGAAAACTTCATCCTTTTAATAGAATATATTTAATAATAACAAGTGTAAGCAAACAACTTCTGTATTTGGCAGTAATAACCACGTAATTATACTATTTTAGTGGCGACGTGTAGTAAAGATGATGATGTATCAAGGAGAATTCATGAGGCAACACGGCGATATAATCATTTTGGAGCCGAAGTCTTTGAGAGGTTTGTCTTCGTTTTTTCTAAAAAAAAAGACTTTTCCCCAGTCAGAGGCATTTTCTTGTCCGAAATAGTTTTTCTGAATAATTTTTGTGCACTTAATGAAAATACTTAATATTGGAGAGGCCGAGGAAGTCAATCACTTTCTGTTCTTGAAGTGGGAAATACTCGAAAACAATTTCAACCAACCATAAAGATCCCTTAGTTCTTCAACCCGATGATTTAGTGTGTTTATCAACTTGTAAACGGTCTCTGTGTGAATGTAACAATTCACTTCCGTTCATTTCCAGTACCGGTTATGTCTTCCCTAGTCAGGCACATAAATCAGGATCCCGAGCCTTTACTTCACACTTTTAGTGGGAATGAATGATATTCCAATCTTCACTTATGTACGACCAAACCTCGGGTTTTGCGAAGTAACCGAGCTTAGAACTTCATTAATTAGCTGATAGGACGTTGAAATGGCTGATTTGTAAACATGCCTTTGAAAGTGTTTGCGTTAAATCTCTCTATCTCCCGGACTGACAAAGTGCTTTTGGTTAATCTTCCGGACTGATTCCTAATCCAGGCAAATGAAATTCTGATAGTTTTTTCAATCCAGGTTTCGTGAGGAGCTTGGCGCTGGACCAAATACCTACGAACGACTTCGGCACAACTCGATCCGGCGTCGGCTGACAAAGGTTTGTCACCCTTTTAGACCTAAGACCACTTTTTCCTTTTCCAGCCTAATTTATTGATTGACTAAGTGTTGTTTCTTCAATGATTTACTTATTCGATCTAGGAAGACACTAATGAAGTCGTACCGGAAGCTAAAGAACATGCCTCCATTAGAAGTTCCCATTAGCGGTAACTTGTCAGGTCTAAAGGTTGCTCAGGATAAGTAGGCCCCCTGACTGCCGAACCGTGTAGTATGTAGCATTGTGCTTCTCCCGGTCAAGGCCAGATTGGAATATACCTATATAAGGCAATATCCATAACTGGAACAGTTCTAACTACGGCAATTTCTGTGACTGGGTGTCTTTCAATCCAGATATCCATTCTACGTCCATACGCAACCGGCCCAGCAACTCCCTTATCCCACCACTTAATCGTTCTCACCTCGTTTCCCATGGTTTTCACTCACCATTATATTCAACAGCACTCCACGATCCGTAATGCGTGATGGTGAATCAATGATGCGGACTACCATCCGCTCCACACCCACCACCCACCACAACGCTGCTGTGCGACCGTAACCGAATTACCTGATTACCCGACCGCTTCGGTTCCTCCTCGTCGGCGATGTGTGTCCAACACGATGGTGTATCCATCCAGCGCGATGGCGCCGTCCACACAACTTCCGAAAAGTCTTCTCCGCTGATCGCCACACTCTCTCGGGGCTGTTCACGCTCAACGACCTGATTTGACGCTCCACCGTCCACACCCAGTCGTTTTTCGCTAGCGCCCAGCGCAACGACATCGCCGACGCCGATAGAGTCGACGACAACCCGACAAAGGCCACCACACCCTGTTCAACATCAGAACGACTACGGTAGCCGACGTTTATGGGCGGACCCCTCATCAAAGGACATATTACACACGACACCTGTCCCACACTCGCTCACACCCACTCGGATGGCAGAAGACGTGACTGAATTCACTAGGGCGACGAAACTACTGTTAGACACGTGACGAAGACGTTGATGGAGTATTTTTGACGAGTGACATCACCATGAGAGAACACTTGGCCGCTGCGCACACTCGGCGTGGGCTATCGTCACATGGAACATTCGTCTTCTTAAACAGAAACAGCCAGTTTTATTGATCAAGATGGCAGAATACCAGTTATCAGGTCGTACAGTGCGATTTAAAATCAGGTTACTTTGACGGAGTGGTTGAGGTTTCGATTTAATGGTGTCAGACCCATTTTGGCTTAGAAAAACACTGGATTGTACAGTGGGTGGTCTTGTACTTGACTGCATCGGCCCAATACGGGAAGATCGATGATTCAAAAATATTTCAAATTAAACCTAAGTACTTGGAGAATCCCAAATGGTTTTGATCGAGTGCCTGTCTCACATTTTTAAATATTGCCGTCCAATGAATTTAAGGACAGGGAAGAAAAAAGTGCACAGTGGAATCCACGCCCATTTCTCTTTCACACCTAATATTATCTCACCCACTCCCTTTGGACGGCCTTTATAGGAACTTCCCTAATTCACCTGAGGAGAAGAAGCTTTAGCCCTTATTCGTTGACGGCATCGGAGGTGTAGAAGTGATTTTTTCCTCGTTCGGGTCTCTGATCCTGAACGATATGGTTGAGAAGCTGAAAGAAGGAGCGGTCCACAGAAGCTCTTGATAGTACTGCATTTTGGTTCATGTGAGAGTAAACTACAGATCACGGGCAAAAAGCTTATCTGGGACCGGCACCCCTAAAACAGAATTGGCTAGTTTTAACCCTAGATGGGAATAGATCTATTGGAATATATTCAGGGTCGGGTTTGACTTCTTTTCATTTACAACTCCACCCTCGTGGTTAGGAGACCAAGTGCCGGATAGATTCCCATCCGAGCTGACCAAGCTCAACAGTACGCTACAGCTGGAACTAGTCTTGTCTATAAAGATCTCCGGAAAGAACTGAACTGCACCTTATACGGATCCCGCGATTCGCTCTGCGGTCCAGTACGCATCCAAACGTCCTTCTGATCTCTGGTTCGAGGCTGATGCAGGGTCCATCCCAAATTTTGCCCATCAGCGCTGGAACTTTGAAACTTTCTTGTCCTTTATTGTGATGAAACTATTGCTTAAAAAAGAGGAAAACTATCATCATCGAACGATGTTATTTCAGGTCGACAGTAATGACGACTCAGGCCGTGCTACGACGTCCTCTGAAGCCTCATCCGTATGCGATTTCCCTGCCGACGACGAACCTACTGGTAAGAAACATTTTCAGAGCCTTTTTCATCAGGAGGAATCTCCTCTTCTATGGAAATAGTCGATCAAAGTGATCGAAGATGAAATGGTGTCACATTAGCCTTGAACATTCCTCGGCCGAAACTCCCAGCATGCGCTTCAGAAATCACCGCGCTGCTGTGGGTTCAGTTAAGTAAATCGGAGAGTTCAAGGCCAACTCACTACGAGGAATTTCACTCAAATATTTGTCAAGTTTTCAAAGATCTTTTCTATTTTCAGCCTTTCTTCCCTACCGTAGCCGGTTACCATTTGGTTCCACTCAATCGGTATTCGATCAAAATGATTTTTCGACAATTTCCTCACGATTGGAACACATTAAGCAGGAATTCTTTGCTGGAACTGATAGTGAGTTTATCGAAGAAATGTTGGCCACCGCAGGCAGTACCGATAGTTTTCCATTGCAGAACCCTATGCCTCTATGTCAGGATTCCAAACACCCACTACAGCACTTGGAGCTGCAATGCAGGACCTGAATATGAAAAGTACGTTTGCAGTGGACTCCAAGAAATTGCAAAACCATTTTAGACTGAATTATTGTTACGAATGCATATTCTTAGGCCTATTGCTCAATTTTCAGGTGCATTCGCTCCAGTGTCCCCTAAAACTCGGCCTACTCATCGTGGAGTTCACCAAAGAAGTGGCTACAGGATCTCCGACCTGCTCCATGTTAGTAAAGATATACAAGATTATAGAATCGAATGTTTTGATAGTCAACCCAAGATGGTAGTGCGATGGCTCGCCAGATTCTGCGCCCTCAAAACAGGCTGAAGATAATGACAAATAGGCGTGCGGGTGCGCGCTGCGTCAGCCGCCTGAAGATGAAGAAACGTGGAAAGACATGTAGACACGAGATAGAACTCTTTCCACGTTTCTTCACGTCAAGTAAACACTAATATGCGATCGATACAGATAAACAGTAAACATGGCATGGACCCTGAACCTTAAAACTTTATGAAGGCCGCCTAGTTTTGTTGTTAGGACCCCACACAATAATCAGATCCCAGATTTTATTTTGTTTACTGAAATTTACTTTACAGGACGATCCCGTATTCCGAAAATCGGAAGAGTTCACATCTACCGAAACAAAAGTCCATCGAGTACCGATCAAACTGGTGCAAGCCAACTCAACACAAGGTTAGTTTACCATTTATGCAACATCAACCATGCAAATTCTAAATCAGCCACTTCTTCAGCTTTATCAATTCGGATTCTTCGCCAATTTTTATTCCAATGTACGTAGTTACAGACTTGACGCTGATCAATCGACTTCGAAACGATTTTGGTACGCTCAGTGAGCAGGAAGAAACAGTAGAAGCCGAAGACCAGCTTATGGACAGTCCGACAAGCCCGGATGCAAAGCACGCTCGAAGTAAGCTTTCAAGCCCAATTTTTTCAAAAGGCACTATCCGCGATGGGATTAGATCAGGGTGTAGGGTGCAAAAGTGTCATGGTTGACGTTCGCCTCAATAGATGTTGTTCAAATCGAGCGGTTGTGGTATAATGCCAAATGGCGCACCATCACACACGCACGGTACAGGGATCGAATCCTAGCACTCCCCAGGCCGACTAACCAGTAAGCCCTCCCTTCGGCGCTGTCTCCCTTCCGCGCCGTCTGATTGGTTCTGGACTCACGTGGGAGGATAAAGACATCGAGCTGTACGTATTCTGACCACTGCTAGTCATTGTGAAGGCCGCATACGCATTCAAAACGCATTACGAATCTGCTTGAACGCCGAAAGTGTGGCGCATCCCAAACGGGGCCATTCAAACCACAATATTTTATCCGTTTACTCTTCCATAAGCAACTCCTTTAATTTTCCAGCGATGTCGTTTCCTCTGACGATCAACGTCGATACACAGAGCGTCACGTCGGATCTGCCGAGTTCGTTGTCGTCTTCCGTAAACAGTTTTGTATGCCAAGGCGTCAACCAGGAAGCTTTGCAAAAGCAGCTCGAAGATCTTACGGTAATAATTCACATAAAAATAACAAAAAAAAACTCCAAATGAAAAAAGAACACGTTCCCACTCCATAACGGAAAAGCCCGCTGTTGTCTTGCAGCAGCGAGCTTATAGAACCGAGCTGCGGCAGTGTCAACCAGACATTACTAGTTACTGATTCGCGGGAAAGTCCCTCAACTCAATAGGTGATTTTTAAGGCTGCCTCCTGCATGGCTGTGCTACCCGATGCAAGTGGCGTAGTTAATCCTGAGAAAATCCGTGATCAAATTAGCGTTGTTAAACGACAGATGGACGTCTTTCAACAACTTATGGCCGATGCTAAAGGCGAACTGGATTTGGCAAAAATGGAGGAGGAAAGTCAGGTTAGATTCTTAACTGAATTCTCCAATTAGATAAAGTTGATGCAGAATGAACTTGTGTCTGCTCCTAATCGAATCTCATGACCTTTGTGACATAGGCTGCTTTCATAGTCCACGATGGCGAGCGATCGATCGCGCGACCAGTCGCTCGCCAAATCGTGAACTATGAAAGCAGCGATACGGTCTTGACGGTGTGAATGTAACTACAATACTTTAGCACTTCCGTCCCCACTAGGTCTCCTTGACAGAGAGCAATACAAGAAATCAAACATGGGTACTTTTAGGATTCCGCAGCCGTTGATGATATGTGCGAACCATCACCCTCATCATCCCATACCGATTCTGAATCGCCACGGGATCGTCGACTTCATCACTGCACTCATCCTCATTGTGGGAAGGTCTATACTAAAAGCAGTCATCTGAAGGCACACTACAGGACTCATACTGGTTAGTTGAGCAACTATCTGCCCTTTCGGGTCCTGTTCTGACTTTGCCCAGGGGTCCTTAGTTCCGGCTAGGTGATTACCTCATGCATAGAAGTCAAACTTCACAATACAATTAGTCTTGATTGAACTGTACAAGGAGCGTCCGTGATTGGGTTGTCGAGAAGGCAGGCCAATCACGAGAATGCCTTACTACCACCTTTTGAGCACTGATATGAGACTGCCAAAGACCGGATGAGAGACTTATCCGAGTTTTGCCTGTCAGATTTCTGCCTAGAATGAACCAGTGACCCCCAAACAATGCACAAAGAACCGTGTCGGGTTGCAAAATCGCTTAGATATGGCGTGATAAGGGCCTCAAAACTGGGCTGCGCCGACGTACGCACTAAAGACGGACGAGTTCTCGCGGCGTTTGACAGGCTGTAGGTGTTGCACCATTCGCACCGGGACCCAGACCTTGCCACAGGCAGGATATCTGATACGTTGGCGCGCCCATTTGAACAGCTCGTCCGGCAATCCCTTCCATCCAACTTTTGTCATCACATTCTCGTCCAATCCTTAATTTTACTATCTTTCCAAAACCTCATTTCTCTAAATGCGCCGATTTACTCGTGCTCTTTGCAACTTTTGCACTCTTCTGGACTACCAATTACCCGTAAAAACTGGACATACCCCAGAATTCCAGAATTATTGTGAGCTATGCCTTCAAGGGATCCGGTTGAAATAATAAAGGCTAATTTCTCAAGAGGAGGAGTCATGCACTAAATGCTGCATATTTTACAGGCGAGAAGCCGTACTCGTGTCCATGGCCCGGATGTGAATGGCGGTTCGCACGTTCAGATGAACTCACACGCCACTACCGTAAACACACTGGCGATCGGCCCTTTAAATGTGCTCAATGCTCGCGAGCTTTTTCACGTAGTGATCACCTCAGTCTACATATGAAACGGCATTTCTAATATTTTGCTCAAACGATGTTCCTTGTGTCTTAACTGTGATTAGCCTTTGTTGTTGTGCTGCCCAAGATTATTTAAAGAAAGAAAAAATAAAATCAGGAGTTCAAAGATGCCTTCGCACATCGTTTTCACATCATTTCTTATCATACTGAATCATGCTCATCATCGTTGTCATTTCATCGGGCATTAACGCCATAATTTATCGATTGCTTCGCTCATTTTTCACTTTTTCATCACTTTTTCCCCTTTGAAGTAGGCATTGAAAGAAAAGATTCAGGATCTTTATTTTTTCTGTCCTCACCTCAAAATTCTCCCTCTCACTCCCTCTAATCCTCCCCTAATTCTTTCCTATACTCTCCCTTCCTCTTTCCCACTCTTTTAATTTTTGTTTATGATTCACTTAGTGCTAGTCCTTCCCATATATATCGGGTGATTGATTAGTTTAAAGATCTGACAGCCGGTTTTTGTACTATTAATTCGCATCGATCACGGATCTATTAATTGATTTATCGATTCGCGCAATAGTACGAGCATTTTCTCTAGTCACCATCGTTGTGACGTCATTCACTTTGTAGCGTTTTATTTATGCTATTTGGTGAGAATGAAGATTCAATTATTTTTGATAAAATTCTTGTTCTAACTACTGGTGCTGCCCTCACTGTCAGACAGAAGCTATTGGCAGATGTGTGTCACACCGAAAACGCATTCTTTCTCAAGAAAACACATCATAAGCTATTCGGTTTTGCGTTCTATTTGTTTCTGTTCCAAGGAATAACTACGTTTATGCTCTGCGTCAAACGATCGAAAGCGGGCGACGTATAGCGGCATCGATCGATATGTCACCTGTGCGATGACCACTTCGGCTCATTCAAGGGTTGCACGCCTTTGAAGCGCCCAATCGCGTCTGAACTGACTCAATATTTGTCCTAACAACTGCTTGCGATTATCAGTTTCACATTTTGGTGGTCTGCATGAATTAACGAGGGATAAACGGGGTCATTTCAGTCCAGTAAGCAACAAGCCTCTGAACAGAGGATCAGTTGGAAGTCTCACGGATCATTCAGGCGAGCCGTAATCGCGTTTAATCAATTGGGATATGCAGACATAAAAATATTTATTTTTGCCTTCAAGCGCCAGGTACTATGGTTAAAAAAAANAAAAAAAAGGGTGCCACTACTTCTCTATAGGAGTGACATCAGTGAAGCAGCTCTCTAGCTTCTTCTCAAGATGGAGTTCAAAGTACGTGGTGTTAGGCTTGCTTGTGTTGCTTTCTCCAGAAATTAGATCTTAAGTCTGTCTCAAAGCTCGACAACCAACTTAATGAACTGGCAACATTGTACTGGATTCGTACCTCAGAAAAAGCCCAAGTCTCATTTTTTCGAGGGCCTCATTCCGAAAAATATGTCTTTGGATGAGTCTTTGTGTGAAATGGAAAGATAACAACCAGATATCGTAAATAGTAGCTGATTTCAGCTTGCACAATCTATCAATCGGGGAAAAACTCAAGCATGGGTATCCGAAGAACAGACCGTTTTATTGTCTTCCTTATTCCACCTCTCTACCTCCCCAAGCCGCCCCGTACCCCGCCACATCAAAAATTCCTCAAAATGCGAAATCCCACATCTTTCCGATTTCCTAGTAAAGGTTATTCGGAACGCAGGTGGGTCCTTGAATGCATGATAGCCCTTGTTTTAGGCCGTGCTACCTCGGCAGCGAAAAGCATTTGATGCGTATTGATCGGAAAGAACGGGCGATCGAAGAATCAGGGGTAGCGATGGCGCAGACCTTAAACGTCGTCCTGCGACAGTGATTCTGTTCCATTTGTTATTTCATTTATTCTGCGTTACCAACAACTAAATAATATCTATTCCTAGGGGAGGAGATATCCTTAAATCATTGTGGTATTATCTTATCCCATAATTTTGTGCGGTTCTTGTCAAGCTCAGTCAGTTCAATGAAAGAAATGGTGGAGAGGAGCGTTCGTTTAGAATTCCACTATCGGCAAGGTGCTTTTAAAGTTCCCACACTAATCTTAGGCGATATGACTGCCTACTTCGCTTAACTCTCATGACTCCGAGCATGAACCCTTTATTGGAAAACGTGTGATCTCATAAAATTACGAAGATCGAATCCGTCTGACGGAGCTAGCCCACGGCCCTCAATTCGGAATGTGATGCCATGCTCAACGACTGGGGCCACAGCCTTTTACGAAGCAATCTACAATTACTACATTGAAATCCTTGTTGCCGAGTAGGGTCCTCCAGTAGTCCTTGGATTCATAGCAGTTAAACGGGACAGTACTTAGTAAGTGTCTTAATTTTTACATTTTCTGGTTGCTAGATCTCAACGCTCCAGAGTCATTCGCTTGAACTGAAACTAGAATTTCCTTGTCGTGCTTGTCGTACATGCATTGAGCAATTGAAAAGAGCTGGCAAACGTTAAGATACGCCGATTAGTTGTGACAGCTTCGAAGGCTTTTTCGCTATTGAAAGCAAATGGTAACTACTTAAAAAACGGATTGGTAGCTGGTGCTGATTTACCTAAAACAGAATCTATACGAATGCCCTAGATACGTGTATCTAGGTCGGGACGTACGAGAAGTCAACATGATGAACGACCTAGCTCCGGAGCTGAGCAGAAGAAAACGCGTCGCGTGGGGAGTATTTGGGAGTATCGAGGTTTTCAACACTGCGATCCTCCCTGCTTCGGAATACATATGCCTGTATTTCACGAAAGCAGGAGAGCACGCAGTCAACGTCTTTCAACGTGCTATGGAAAGGACGTTGCTCAGGATGTTTCTATACACTTAGGTGCAAAGGTCCGTCAGCGAACGAAGATCGTTTTTTTCCGGCAAGGAATCGAAGGTTAGGCAGGCCTGATACGTCATAAGATTTTCCGCTGACCCTTAGGCAACGATCTTCGTTAGGTCAAGGCTGTGGCTGACTGGATCCTTCTGAATGTCATACGAACACCAGGACGCCCACTAGCGATGATCAGAATTCTTCACGAAAGCTCTGAAAAGGAAATGTGCACTACTTGTGTCTCTTGAGCGAGGACGGTCCAATTGACTACTCTGGCTTGCGGTAGGGACTAATGCAGACGTAACTTGTGGAGATAGATGATCAATAGGGCGACATGTATAAAAGTGATAAGTGTTAACTACCATTTGTACAACTCCACGTTTGGACCGGAAATGAAGCTTACTCTTAGATATGGTCTATTCTTTGCTGTTTATGTCCATTCCTAGCACAAACCCCTCTGACATTCTCGACCGAGATAATGAGATCTAGACGGCTTATGTCGACCTTCGCGTACTGCCGAGTATAAACGGCGAAGTAAATTGTTGACTACTAAAAAAAGACAGGATACAGTTACTGTTTGTCCCGTGTTCTTCCCTGACTTTTCATCATTTTGTTCCAGCGAGTGTAGTCCACCACTATGACGATTCAAATTATACGCTAAGCCGTACGAATTGACAGTGACAATGTTCTGAACCATAACTAAAGGATGGTTTTCCATTTCCTAGTGAGGGCTCGGTCTCCCCTCGAGGTGACCCCTCAACCCCTCAACCATAAGATTTCAGAAAGAGATGAAGAACATCATCATCTTGTCTCTTAGACATTTAGCGCCGTCTTATATGACCTCGGAGCAATTGGTGAGGGAAACTTGCTGAGAAGTTCAAGAAGGGGGCCTCCATAACTGGTCAGAACAATATCCTGAACTAAACTTCCTACTAATGGTAAAGTTCAAAGATAAGTAGCAAGATATCAGTGCTGGGCTATGGATTGCAAGAAAAAGCAGGCGTGCCGATCAAGGAATATTCCGAAGGGTATCAAAAAACTGAAGTTTTGCCCAGATTATCAAAGATATTCGATGGACTTTGGCGTAAGATATGTCCATTTGTGATTTCTTTCTTTTCTTTCTGATTGCATAGCAGGCGAACGCGCCGTTGTGGGACGGCGACATGGTACCGATGACAGAACCACTACTAGTTACTGCTTCGAAAAAGTTCGCTGGAACATAATATTTGTCTTCAAAACCGCACTTCGCTCGAATATGGTTCACCATAACATGCCTAGGCCCCTCTTAGAGGGCCTTTTTTTATCCCTGTGAGTAACTCAGAATTTAGGCTCTATTCATTCTTTAATTATTCGAATTGGCTGGCCGCTTTCTTCAATTTCAATGCAGTCTTGATCGCCGCTTTCATAGGAGGAGTTATTTCAACTAATCAAGTCTAATAAACATGAAAACGAAAATGAAACAGAAGAAAAAACGATCAAATCCAACAAAAAAGCAAGGCAATCAACGAAAAAAATCGCGTCCTATCGATTGGCGAGAGGCGGGGTGAGTACGGTAATTGCAGTGACATTTGCCGCCTGCCGCAAGGGAGAATGCCGCGATAGGGGAGAAGTTCCGTTACCCATTCAGCGTTCCTCCTCAAAATTGTCTATTCGATAATCACTCGAAGTTTGCAATGTTCAACAATAAAGATACGTGGGTTATAATACTGCGACATATATCAGAAGACTGACGTATTGACAGAACAAGTATAAATTCAACTAAAACGGAGGCTCGACTGTGGTTGGGGTGGCTTTCCTCTTCCACTCCTTGAATACAACTGCATAGCGGGACTCTTTTCCCTCAAACTTGAGTAAACAGACCTTTATCCGAAGCACAGCATCAAGACAATGAGGACCATCTTTTAAGGCGAGGGAAAAATCAGTAACACCGCGAGGTACGAATAACAGACATATTGGACAACAACGTGATCATAAAGCAAAAGACTTCAAAGAAGAGATCGGAATAATAATAATGGCAAAACATAACAGCACTAACTAAATACAATAATTTTCTACTACTAAATCGAAATGGCCAAATAGACCAAAAAGCTCAAGACCAATAGAACAGAACCGTTTCGCAATCCCTTGAACATCTTTAACACTTGAACCGTAGGTGAGACGTTGTTGTTCTGTTGTATACTTCTTCAAAACCCAACATTTGTA